TGAATAAATAATATGTTTAGTATTTTTGTAGAATAATTTGTATATACATCGCTGTAATGTATACTGCGTACAATATTATTTTCTTCAAAGTGCTTAGTTGACACAGAACGGATATTTTTTTTTAGATATAAATTTGTAAATCAAAAACTTTCAATATACAGACTTACACTGCACAGTCAAATTTAAACTAATATGCATATAGTGAATTAAGTAACATGCAAAAGAGAGAATATTGAATGTGTAAATATGTTGATCTGGAGAGCGTATATATGTCTCTAACTTCATCAATACTATTTCCGCCTTTATCTCGAAAGTTCTATTCTCATTCACAGGTCAGAGTTATCTTTCTTTGCCCACCTTATACATACTACGTAAATAGAGAAAATTTCGGTACCGAAAATATACAAAATGTGGAATCTGATTTAAAAACAAATTATATATTTAGTATTTGTAGAGAAATGTCTGTTTTACATAAGAATATCTTGAAAAAATATCTAAAAACAAAAAAATCAAAAATTGACCAAACACAAATTCACTTCCGGTTCGGACAGGAAGTACTAGAAACACACGAAAACAACTTCAAAACAAATAGAATATCATGATCTAATACTCCTGTAAATTTCATATCTTTACCTCAAACCGTTTCCGAGAAAACTGCCGGACAAAAGTCCATTTTAAAATTCGAAAATCGGCCATAACTTCGGACCGGAAGTGAATTTTTCAAAAAACGGAATTTTATATAAACTTCATATATCAACCTATTTACATGAGAAAAATTGTGAAAATCTATCCAGCCATCTCTGAGTAATCGCGCTCACAAAATTTGGGAGGAATAATAATAATAATAATAATAATAATAAAAAGAAACAATACAATCACTATAAGTCTTCCGTTGTGAACGGAAGACTTAATAATAATAATAATAGGGAAAAAGAAACCGAAGAATAACAAGAAGGTCTTCCGTTGGAGACGGAAGACCTTAATAATAATAAAAAGAAACAGTAGAATCACTATAAGGTCTTCCGTCTGAAACGCAAGACCTTAATAAGAAACAGAGTAAAAACAATATGTTCCCAAACTCCGTTTGGGGAACATAATTAACAGTAAAGGATGCATGTTAAACGTTAAGTTCAATAATTACGACAACAATAGATCTTGTTATAATTACATTTATTATATAAGGCAAACGATTTTCATGTTGGAGTGAAATGACCTGGGTTGTGGAGAGAAATGACCTGGATAATGGAGGGAAATGACCTAGAAGAGAAATGACGTAGGCGGAGCAGGTACTGGGGAGAAATGACCCGGATTCGAATCGGACAGACCGTCAGTTGGGCCAGGTTGAAACTGCTGTGGAGCTGGGCCTTGGTCATCATTTTTGCTCTCAAATGTGTCGATTTCGAGTTTGAAGATCAAGTGGGCTGTCAAAGGGAAGTTAATTTAGCCTATCATTGCTTATGATGACATTTGAGTATGCTGGGTTATTGTTCTTGAGCCAGATGAGAGCATTTTGAACAATAAACCTCCTTAAACGATAATCCATACAACTGTCACCTTTGCCCTTTCTTCGAACTTTAAGAATATTTATTTCTGAGGGAAATTTGGGCAGAAGTTGTGCAGGTTCCTTTATTTGATTTGGGAATGTTACACAGTGACCATTTGCAGAGATACCCCCATGTTTAAGCATATGAATATTGATAGCAGGGGATATCCTACTAATTAGTTGTTCAAAGGGGGATAGGAATATCATTTAATATTGGATACCTAAATTTTCTTGGACTCTTTGAATTTGACGAAAGTATTTCTTTCTTAAGATTTTTGAAGATTTTTCTCATGTGGAGGCCCAGGGTCATAGTGAAATCCAAGTTTTCTGTTCTAAGTACAGATCTGCAGTACTGGTGTCATATATTTTTGAATGTTTTACTTTGTTCTTATCTGTTTTTGACTTGGCATTTAGATTTTAATCTAAACTAAATGAATTTTCTTAAAAAATCATGTACCTTTGCTATTGGATTGCTGTTCAAGGCAATCTGTATCCTGGTTAGCACACGTTTTCATTGTTGTGGTAGGAACATCATTCACTTAATTATCACCAAGTGTAAATGTGTTTGTCTTTTGTTTTTATTTGTATAAGCTTGATGTTTGTTCCTAATATCATTTGGAATATGAATTCTCCCACCTGCATTGCTAGGCCTGCAAGATGTTTCATGTATAGTGGGGGATGAGATTTTTGATTTTGTGATGAACTTGGAAATGACACAATTTTTAAGCAGAAGAAAGATGGATTTTCCCCCTGCAATTTCAACAACTGATTCATAAGACTCCAGTGTGAAAGTACTTTGATTATCAGTAGCAATGATGACAGGATACATGTTGCAGGTACACATTGATTTTTACATTAAATAATAATGCTGCAATCATCATCTCTGCAGCGAAGCCACTACCTAAAACCATTTTTTTTCAAAGTTTTTTGTGTGCATGCATTTGTCATGCATCAGCTGTGTCTTTGTACATTTCCCAGTTTTCATACAGATGATAATTCTGTAATTTGTGTATCGTTCATGTGACCATGAAGTATCAAACTCAAACAATGAAAAAAAAGCAGTGACCATCACCTGGGACATCAAAGACCTTGAATTCAGTGTTGGTTGACCCATTGCTTGCTAGGGTCTCTAATTCAAAGAAAGTACACATATCTGCACTTGGAGAAGCGGTCTTCAAATTTTGAGTAGATTTATTTGTTTGAGGACATATATTGCATCCTAATTTATTTTGAGGTTTTCCAGAAAGAAATAGAGCAGTTGGGCTTTCCAAACCTTCATTAAGTGAGTTTTGTGCCGGACAAACTTGTGAACATGGTTCTGTAACAATAGAACATACAGTGGAATAATTGTAATCTGATCTGCCATATGCCATTCGTGATTGCAGCTCATTGTGAGAAAACATGCGAGCATTATTCATTTGCAACTCTTCAGTATCCATTTGCAACTCTTCAGAAGTCATGCAAGTGTAGCTATGATCATGGCTGATTTCTTTCTGACTTGCAGTATGTAAATCCCCACGAGCTGTTGTCGAAGTATTTGACATTTATTTGCTTGAAGTAGAAAATGCTTACAGAATTTTTTTTTTTTTTTTAAATCTAAAAAAACAAATCCCAAACTTATGAATTATTGAACGAAAATGCTAAGAACCGACTTGATGAAGAAAAGATGCTTGTTCAGCATTTGGTTAGATTTGTCAACACCTCCCATGTTACTGTTGTAATGCTGAGCACTAGCTACTTCTTCCTATAGTCTGACCATTTATTTACAGTTCTTTGACAATGTTCAATGGCACACCTATTGTAGATAGGAGAAATAATGACTACAAATGTAGTCATTATTTCTCCTATCTACAATAGGTGTGCCATTGAACATTGTCAAAGAACTGTAAATAAATGGTCAGACAATGGGTGCGTTCACAGTTCTTCAGATGGTAACCGTCGGTATTTTTAATTACCATTATTATACCAATGGTACCAATGTTTACCAATGGTAGTTACCACTGGTAAACTTTTTTGCAGGCCGACCACATTCACGTTAGGATTGGTAGCGCGGGATTTTCGTTCATTAGTGGGATCGTTAAAAATGGCGGAAAACACAGTGCACGCGAATGTGAGAGACATTTCGGATGTAGTTTTGCCTCTTCAGTTGGAAATAAAAGGGAAAAACTTTAAATTTCTGGTCAGGGGAAAAGATTTGAAGTATTTATCGGATCGTAAGTATAAAATTGAGTCAATACTTTACCTGTATATACATCATAGACACCCCTTCTCAATCCGCGAGGTTTTTTTTTTAATAAATACACACCTGTATTATAAAATGATAAGTATATATGTATAAATTCTTTGTTTAAAACGCATATTTAGATGTATACATGAGTCATGACAAAAAATCCTTCGAATAATACATATAATTATTGTCTATGAAATCGTTATATACTTGTTGACAGTGTTATGCATGTTTTATCATCCGTGTATATAGTAATTATAGTATACACGCATACATTTGTATTTAGGCAAAATGACCTATTTAAAAAACAGTATAAAATTCCTTTTTCAGTTGTCTTACACTAATTGAATTTCTTTTTAATTTATTCAGATGTCGATGAAGTTAAGGAAGAGTTGACTGGTCTTATACCATTAGATGAAGTCCCAGATGACCCTATATATTTTACTTTTATCAACGGAAATGTCCACATCCCTGAAGTGGTTTTAAGGAAATTTAAAGAACACAAAAGTAAAGATGAAGATCAGAACAATAACATGGACGTGACAGCGGTTCAAGAAGATAATGATGGTGAATTAGAAAACTACTGTGAAACAGGAGCTGACAATGTTGAAAGTGACTCAGAGGGAGAATGCAAATCAAGATTTGAATGGAAATTGTCAACGACAAAAAAGCTGCTAGCTACACTCAAAGATAAAAAGAAAAAACAGGAATCTTTTTCGAAAAATGCATGGAAAAAGGTGGCGGAATCGATGAGTGGAGGAGGAAAGAAGAGTCCCTCGCCAGATCAGTGTAGAGAAAAGTTCTACTCTATGAGAAGAGCTTACCGAAAATATTTAACGGAAAAGAAAAAAACAGGAAACGGCAGGCCAAAGCCATTCCTACTTGAAATGGAAATGCATGACATATTACATGATGACCCAGCTTTTAACCCACCAATTGTGAAGAGCTCATTAGGAACTGAAGAGACCAGTTCTACCATAGTCTTAGGAGGAGAGGACACCAGTTCAGACAGCTGCAGCAGCGGTGAAAATGAGAAAAAAGCTCAAAAGAAAAAAGGCAATGAGTTAGTTGAGTACCTAAAAGACAGGGATGAGAAATTTCTCAATGCGTTCCAAAACATGCAGGAAAAAACAAACAAACTAATGGAGAAACTGATTGAAAAGTTGTAAAAATTGAGGAAGAATTTGAGAAGAAATTCCTTCTAGATACTTTTTTTTACACAAATTCTATGTGGTGCATTTTTTCTTTTTTTTTTGTTATTGTTATCTTGTTTATTTGTTGTTTATTTTATCAACGAAAGGAATCGATTATGATTTTTCTTAAATACAAAACAAAAGAAAAAAAAATACTACTGTGTTCTTTGAATTCATTTATTAGATGTTTAGTAGCTGTTGCATAAGTTGTTGTCTCAATTGTACTCCTTGAAGTTCATGTCCATCTCTAGCAAATGTGTCATCAAAGTTCTCTGCTGCATTTGGTTGCTGCGGCTCAATTGGTAGATCACCATCATCTTCAGAGATGCATATATTGTGGAGAACACAAGCTGCAAGCACATTATTCACAAGAAGTGTCAAATCTAACATCTCAAACCTGTAAAGCCTCCGGAATCTGTTTTTCAGCATACCAAAAGCCCTTTCAATAACTTCTCGACATCTGCTGTGCGTTTTGTTGAATAGCTTTTGCTGTCTAGTCAAATTTCCATGGTCTCTAAAAGGAGTCACCAGCCATCCTAATAAAGGAAAACCTGAATCACCTAAAAGGCAAAATCCAGGTGGTATTCTCTCATTACTTTGGGCAAACAAATCAGATTGTCGCAGCACGGTAGAATCATGTGTGCTCCCTGGATTACCTGTCCAGACATAATTAAATGCTAGAGTGGCATCACAGGATGCCAAGAGAACAATAGAATAAAACCCTTTTCGGTTGAAATATGCCTGGTGAAGATGTTTAGGAGCAGTTATATGGATGTGACTCCCATCAATTGCTCCCAGTATGTTTTGAAACTGTGAGCGCTCAGCAAATAACCTGCATGTTTTATTAACTTGGATTGCATTGCTTGGCCATTTTATTATGTCGGGCATAATTTTACACAGAGCAGATCCAGTTCGTTTGATGCTTTTATGAAAACTGCTTTTAGAAACGTCAAATCTATCTGACATTGATCACATGCTCTCGAGGTTACCTACAATAAATTGAATAATTATGTATTCATTTAAGTATCTCATGTCAATATTTAATTACTCTGAAACATACAATCCAAGATTTTTAAAATTAAATTCATTAACTTGCCTATAAACCACAAAAACATAAGTAGGTCTTTTTCCACATCAGGGGTTGGTCCAGTAGTTGGATTGTATTCAGATAGGACTCCTAACCGCAAAGATGTTGTTTGATATGTTCCTCTGGACAAGCGAAAATGTGACTTAAAGTCATCCATAGAATACAATGGGACAGTCATTTCAAAAAATCGATGAACCCGTGGTACATACTGACGCTTAATAGATCTTGCATAAAGGAAATCATTTCCGGACATTTGGTTATACATTAAAAATGTCTGTGTATTATTATGCTTTTGCATAAGCAAAGAAAGAATCAACTGATTTGTAGCCATGCTGGTTTACACAAGTATCTAATGGTTGCCATTGGCAGCCACTGGTAACCATTGGTAACTAATGTTGATTTCCTGACCAATGGCTAACAAAATTCTGTTCACAGTTCTATGGCTGCCAGTAGCACCAATGTCAAAAAATGGTACCAATATCAACCATTGATACTAATGGTTGCCATTGGCATCCACTGGTCACCATTGGTTACCAATGTTAATTTCCTAACCAATGGCTAACAAAATTCTGTTCACAGTTCTAAGGCTACCAATAGCACCATTGTCAAAAAATGGTACCAATAGCAACCATTGATTTTTACCATTGGTAGAACTGTGAACGCAACCAATGGGTGCGTTCAGAGTACTACCGTTGGCTGACAAAAGTTACCACTGGTAGAATTTCTTACCATTGGTATGCCAATGGTACCAATGTTTGCCGAAAAAATTTACCATAGGTAGATTTTTCTGCAGACGAACTAGAGCTCTGTTAGCGATGGTAACTTTTTTAATGACGTCAAACAAAATGGCGGGTACTGATCGAGTCTGTCCCACTAAACAGAGAACCCGAGAGATCTCTAAGTTTACCGGGCGGTATTTGGTAAATTCAAATAAATTTTATGCATAATTGAGTTCATTTTTACTCTATAAATCGTTTTCTATCTATAAAATTAATAACAAGATTATTCTATGAAAATTTTCCCTGGGGGAAAAAAGTTGAAAAAGTAACAAATCATTGTAATGTTTTTACCACACCTATATACATAAACTCTGTGTATATAGGTGTGAAACGTCTTTTTTAAATGTGGTTTTTCTTGACTGAAAGTTTCAGAATCTTTATTTTAATAAATTTCAAGTCTAATGTAAAATAAAAATTTCATTGATTTAATTATTTTACATTTGACAATTCGGAATACAAGTTCGAAAAAATTCTGTTGTGGAGAAGTACTTAACTGTACTAAAAAGTATTTCTGAAAACATTCTCTTGCTGCAAAATGATTCATGAAGCAAGAATAATAATCTTGGTTCGACATTTTCTTTTAAGAAATCTGTCAATGTTAACAATGGTATACACCAATGTCACAAATGGTACACCAATGGTGCCATTGTTAACATTGGTGAGTTTCCTATCAACTCTACCCAAAAATCGTTCAGAGTACATAGGGGTCCAATGGTACCAATGGTACAAATTGTTACCATTGGCAAAAAGGTGATGGTACCATTGGAATTACTCTGAACGCACCCTATAGGAAGAAGTAGCTAGTGCTCAGCATTACAACAGTAACATGGGAGGTGTTGACAAATCTAACCAAATGCTGAACAAGCATCTTTTCTTCATCAAGTCGGTTCTTAGCATTTTCGTTCAATAATTCATAAGTTTGGGATTTGTTTTTTTAGATTTAAAAAAAAAAAATTCTGTAAGCATTTTCTACTTCAAGCAAATAAATGTCAAATACTTCGACAACAGCTCGTGGGGATTTACATACTGCAAGTCAGAAAGAAATCAGCCATGATCATAGCTACACTTGCATGACTTCTGAAGTATTCTGAAGTATTCAATATTGTAGTCTCCCGTGGGGATCCGTGTTAGAATAGGTCCTCAGTACCCCCTTGCTTGTCGTAAAAGGCGACTAAATGGGGCGGTCCTTCGGATGAGACCGTATAAACCGAGGCCCCGTGTCACAGCAGGTGTGGCACGATAAAGATCCCTCCCTGCTCAAAGGCCACAAGTGCCGAGCATAGGCCTAAATTTGCATCCCTTCACCGGAAATGGTGACGTCTCCATATCAGTGAAATATTCTGGAGGGGGACGTTAAACAGTATACAATCAATCAATCAATATTGTAGTCTCTCCACTGACACCTTTTCAAGCAATTTAATGTATTTAAAGCAACAAGGCATGGCACTGCTTGCATTTATGAGATATTTTTCTTCTGTAAGAAATCTGTTGCCAAATTGGTGGTATAAAATAAATGTATTCATGGTATGAATTCTGTTTTCCTGTTTGAGGAGTTTCCTCTTCAGCCAGATCACACATTGTATGCAAGTTCTTTGGTTCTTCTGTTAAGTTCTGTTTTCTCCTTGCCAGGGCAAAAAATACACAAGCATAAAATTGCGTGTGGGGCGCTGATCTTAATGAAAATTTCAATTGTATTCAACGAAGTTTAAACAAAATCGACAAGTGCACAAAAAGAAAAACATTGCATAATGGTAAGTATAAATATTTTTCTTTATGACGTAAAACAGTATTAAGCAGAGATAATTTAAAAATCCATCATTGCCTTCATAAAAATTTTATCCATTTCACAAAGTGTTTCTTGTGCAGAGTTTACAAAACTGCCATGAAAAGTATCGAAATATAGTCGTAAAATCCATGACAACACTCGCAATTTAAAGTACATGTGCTTTGGAAATCCTAGTGGCCTATACAGGAAATGCACAATCAATACTAAAGCGTTGATACAGAATCAGGCAGATCTTTATCTTCCGGGTGAGAATCTATGGAAGCACAGTAGTATTCAAATTATTGTCTTTGTAACGCATTAAGGGTCATAAACCCTCTGCTCACTTAAATAAAATGTTGCTTGAACCTTAATGATTTTCCAAAAGAAATTAAATTGTTAAGTTAAATACAAACAATTATAGCAGAGCTTGCGGTGCAAAATTTGACAAAAAGGACACTTCAACTTCGCAAATCTATAAAGGAATAATAGACATTTATGTCATTAAGAGTTATCTCTCTTATCAGAGTATCAATGAACCTTAATTTTCTGCAATTACTTTGCCTATTAAAGAACGGAAGGGGTTGAAAAATATATGATATTAAAGCAAAAAAACACTTATTTATATTCAAGATACTTATGAAAATTAAGATAATTTGACACTACCCCCACCCCCCTTTTTCCAATTTTCAATTTCATTAAAAATTAATTAAATAATATAATATATGCTGTTGTAATGTCAGACAGAATAGTAAAATAAACCCTTGGAAAAAACAACAAAGGGCAAAAGAAGAGGGGCATGGCAAGAGGTGGGCCAGCACCAAGTACTTCTACTGAGGATGCTAAAAAAAGACACGACTCAGTGTACAAGAGGAAAAATACACTCTTAAAAAAGGTATGAAAATCTAACGTACCCTCGTCCTTCATGACATCTAGGGAACTTTCTACAACTTCAAGTAATTCTTTGTAGAATTAATGTACATTTTTCCCCCACCATTCTTTATATCTCTCTTCCATTGCGTTCTCCTGTCTTCTCCTTTTTTAACAATAAAAAAAAATAATTATTTTAAAATGCAGATATGCATGCGTTTGCATATCTTTATTTTAAAAACGCAACAATTATGAAATATGCATACCAGCTTTAAAATCCAAATCAAGCAGTTTTTCAATCTGCTCCTCAATTTTGGCTGCTATTTCTGCTTTTGTTCTACTTTCGATAGAATGAAAGTGAGAACGTTCAAGACTTGTAAAGAAAATAGGTTCATGAGAAATTGATATTTTGACAGAATTATTTTTAGAAACTTCTTGAATATCATGTTGCCGATTGTTTTTGCATTTCTGGGAAAAATTTACTAGTTCTTTTTCTAAGGATTTGTTGCACAGAGAAGTATGATCGTTGGAGGAGAAAGGATTGGAGAGATATTCGGATGATCTTAAGGTCATTGGCAACACAAGGTTTCCGGAGAAAAAAGGTATATACACAGGTTTTCTCACTTATGAAAAAAAGTCATTGAGAGTGATCTCCCCTATAGAATTCTCTAGGCGTTGAAAACAAATAAAGCATATGTTACAGACTGAGAGGTAAACAAAAGCACGTGTATTTTTTATCGGATATATTCAACTCTACAGTAATAAAAGAAAAGCTTCGCCCCCTGAAAGCTCCTGGATTTTAGGAGATTAGACTGTCAAAAACTACCTTAAAAATGGCCTTTTTTTGAGCAGTTATTTCAATACATATGAACAAAAATTGAGGAATTATCGAGCATTATGTAGACAGCGGATAAAATTCCAACTATACTATCATAAATATACTGTAACGAATCTTGAAAAAATAAGGGCTATACCTTCCCAACCTGTGTCGGAGTAATGGTGTAGTACGGGAGGCTGTTAACCCCTGCTTGAATGGTATAGCCCATTTTCCTATATTAAAAACGCTGTACATTCCGAAGTAAGGAGTCTGAACGAAGCAAACGAATGGAGAAGGTCAATTCTAACAAAAGTCATTGCAAATGATATTGAAATCAAGTTTTGTTTAAGATCAAATACTGCAAGAGGAAAGATATATTTGTATGTGTTAATTTGAAACTGAACCATGAGGTAACAGGATACTATACATTTATTAATGTTGAATTTTAGTTGATTCATTGTATTTTAATTATGGTTCTCGAACAACATAAAAGTCATAAAAACATGTTTTATAATATTGATTCTCATTTTTTCTTTGGATTCAAAAACGTCAAACGAAATACAAAATTTATAAACGCTGAAATGATTAAAATTTATTGAAATGTCCCAGTCTCCATTTGAAATCTTATTAAGGCTGTTTAAA